GAAAAAAAAACACATCATTAGTAGCCATAGACAAGGGTTTATGTGGTTACCAACCTGACCTAGCAATGAAATGATGCTGCCTCGGCATAGCAGAGTATATTCATAGCAGTGGGGAAATTTGAACCTCAGAACTGGACACAATAGAAATAATCTGTAGCAGACAAGGTGATCACTATGAATTGTGTATCTATTTTAAGATGATCAAATATGATTGAAACTGTTGGATATTCGAATTAAAATAACACTATCTGCATACCTTCCCTCAACTTGGCATTGCCATCCTGCAGCGAAAACGAAAAAGAAAAAGCTAAAGATAGGTCCTATGTCTTGTGAACAAAGATCTATATAAGCTAATTATACGAATTAGGTAAGCACAGTAAGATATACGTATGAGAATATCAATTAGTATCAGTTAAATGATAAGTGTAAATGTACCACTTGTTCATGGCTGCAGTCTACTTTATTATCATAATTTCTGTACAACTGGTTTTTACTAGTAGTAAATATCTAAACTCCATGAGGAGAACCGTGTTCTCGATACAGCGACGAAATTCATGTGGTCTATCACATCCACAAAGGACGCTATTGGCGAACTTGAATATGTTCTTCTAAGCATTTATGTCATGTTGTCAAAGCAATTCACATCACGAAGGGATGCTATGGAACTTCAGCAAACGCTATCTTATTTTTTGTTGCTGGTTTCCTTAAAACTTCAAAGCTATATTGATTATGAATCGCAATTAACCCATAGATATATTCATGTGCATGCGGTTCATTAATAAATATCTGCTTATCTTTAAACTTGGCAAGTCAAAGGTAGTATTGAACATACTAAGCTTAGCTTCATAGCTGCTTTGCATAAGCTTACCAGTAAAGGATGAGAGTGTATTTGGGTTTAAGTTACGAATCGCCATTTAAATGATGGTATAGGGGACAAAGAGAATAGTCGCGCTATGTAGTTTGGTTTTCCTTGCTGATCTTGTGATTGGGTTTCTTGATATTCTTGATTTTCAGCCGTAAGTCGCTTAAGTATTTCTTTAAGCATTGGGATATAAGATCCTGGAGGTGCAGATAAGCTTTTGAATGTAACTGGCCTAGGCATTTTTGTTCTCGAATGGCCTTCGCAGAGAGAATCTACTGTTGGCATTACGCTCCTCAGCTGAGGCAATATCGCATCCTAAAGACGTAAAAGCAAAGGCAGCGTTGTACTGACGAAGATTGCCCCTGAATTGCCTTACTTGAGTGTCTGCCCGAACAAAAAGGCCCTTCAAGTACTCAGGTGGATCAGACAAGAGTTGTAACTGGACTGGTCCTTGTTTGCAACAAGATTCCCAGCGAGGATTTCTCAATAAAGATAGCTCTTGCCTTTCGTCTATTCAACGCAGGCCATGACTGTGTTAGCATTCCTTGTTCATTCGTTCCAGGCCCAATGGCCGCAAGAGGTGTAACTGAGAAATGTAAGCAGCGGGGACATGCTCAGCAGGGTCTGCTCTGGGTCTGCTTCTGACTCTATTTTCAGCATCAGCAGACTTAACTGTTCTTCTTGGCGGTTTAGTAGCGATCCTACCCTCTTCTTGTTGCTTTTCGACACAATGTCTGCATCGTGATTCTGCTACTTGTTCTCTCCATGTCTAGCAGGTGCGGTAAGCTGAGTTGCTTTCCAAACGCATGCCACAGGCGGAACAGCTGGTTGGGATTTGAGTAATAGTAGTAGTGTTATTATAATTATTATATTCTAATTCTGTTTTCAAGAATTGTATGAAAAAAGAAAAGAAAGGATTTGCTATTTTACTGTAAAAGGAGAAAAGAGCCCATACATAGGTGTAATGTTCGACCCGAAAGAGCCTATTTTCCGGTGTATTTTTTGCTCTATTAGAATGTACTTGGTGTTTGATAGTCATCACTGTTAATCAAGTAGGTATCAAAGAACAACAAAAGCAACGTCATGTTTTATGCACTACTTCCTTACATGTATAATCTCTTCACAGATTACTTCCTCTTTTTTGTGAAAACACAGGTGTGTTAAGGTGAAACCATAGCGATGTCAGCCTTACTTGTGCAGCACTTTCATTTTGAAAGTGCATCAATGACACTTTGAGTGCAGTGGCAAAGATAATTATGGGATTTTCTATTGACAAGGCATAAAGAAAAGCGTGACAATGGAATCATCCTGTTACTGTTCAAAAAGAAAGAACAATGAGATTATGCCACTTATCCTCTTATTTTATGTTTCTTTTAATGTACATGTTGATCAAGGATTTGAATGGATGTGTCTTTAAGAGTTTATCTGTGTATGTTTGATAAGCACATTCTTGTACAAGGTCGAAGTCTCGTGTCATTTTATTGCTTTTCAGGGAAATGAATAGACTATGTTTCTCTTTGAACAGTGGTTGGGAACGCGCTGCTCTGCAAACGTTGATTTTATCTCTTGATTTAAAGCGAAATAGCTGTCCATGCCTACTTTTTGATACCACATTCATAGGTCACCTATTCATTCAGATCAAGACACGCGTTGCCTTTTTATAAACAAGATCATTTGTGAGTAAAAGTAGTTCTTTGTATTAATCATTCTTAATGTAGAGACGTAAAGTGATCTTATCAAATACTTGGGACATGTATGCGGCATATGGCTTGCCTTCTTAACTAAAGAAAACCGTATGTCAATCTCAAATTCAGTCATATTTTTTGTAAAGGCTGACTCATGTGTCTCTAGATGGCACGAAACATTCTCAAGGTATTCGTACTCGATAGTATCAACAATAGCCTGTATTTTCAGCAAATACAGATGATCGCTCAAAGGGTCAAAAAAACGGCTTGCAAGCCTCTTAGGGACGTAAACACATTCTTGTCCAAACATTTTGGATAGACGTGGTCCCTTGAATTCTGAGCGAGTTTTCAATTTGTGGTACACAATGTTCCAAGAAATAATGAATGACAAAAAGGAAACACCAAAGCTGTTAACTTTTACTACTCTTGTCGCATGTCATCACAAGATCTAGGCATATACTTGAGCATTTTTCTTTTCAAATTGAGAACAGAACGACCGTACTCCCAATGGGCGTTGATCGATTACTGCATTAGTAAGGAAATGGCTTCTTGTACCACACAGAACCATGGATCTACTGTCAGCCACTTTCGTGGTTCTTTTTCTTGTTAGATCTCACCTAAGCCTTCTTTTTATTTCTTAATTTTTTAATAGTTATGATATCAGGAGAAGAAAAAAACACCTTTGTTGTCTCAGCTCTTGGCGCGGTTGGAACTGGAAAGTCAAGCTTATTAAACGCAATTACTGGTGAATATACATTTGAAACTGGAAATGGTGTAGAAGTAAGTAATTAAATAAAAACGATACAAATAAGCTTATTCCTACTTGTAGCTGACTACACAACAAGTTAACGGAATCACAAAAGAATGGAAGTTTGCTCCTTCTTTACAATATTGCCACCTGATTGATACTCCTGGACTCATAGACTCTAGCGTTCACGACCGCCAAAGCATACAAGAAATGATTAAATATTTCAAATCACTTCAATATGGCGTAAGTGCATTCTTTTTGGTATTCAACATCAATGATATAAGGTTAAAGAAAAAGAAGCTATTTGGTGATTTGATATTAATTCCTTTGGAGTTAGATTGGACGCATATACTCAAAACATGCTTGTTTTATTCCACCAACTGCTTGGAAAGGACTTTTGGAACTTTGTTATCATTGTATTTACGCATGTTGATGAAGAATTCCGTGATGACTTGGAAGATAATATGGATGCTGTTACTGCAAGTGATGGTGAGTTGTGTCTATGCATAGATGAATTTCTCTAATATAAGTTATAGATGGGTTTGTAGCAGAGATTAGAAGGATTTATAAACTTTCAAAGAGCTTTGAACCTTCAGTCGTGTTCACATCGACGCAGAATGTGCGTAATAGTAGCTACACTCAAAGACATATTCGCGAGCTTTATTATGCTGTGGGAATGTGTGAAGCAAGAAATAATGGTAAACGATTCACTTGTAACTGGTTCAAACAAATCATGAGCATCCCAGGTGAAGAACAAAAGTCTAATTTTATTGCAGAAAGTATCAAAGACGCATGGTCATCAATGTCTAACGTATGCCAGATACAGTAATAAAGACACACGCCTGTCCTTATTTTCAAGAAGCTATTACATGCTTTTGCCTTTAGAATGACCTGAAGGAAGAATGTATAGTAGAAATACATACTACAATTATTCGCACACAATTTAAAACCAATAACAATTACACTTTAGTTGATTATCTATCCTTTCTTTATTATTAAAAAGGTAATGAATTCTATCTTTTTGAGAGAAGATAAATGTGGTCAATGCTTATGAATAACACGTAACTGAAAAAGCTGTTAGAGGCTTTGTTTAAATAGTCTGATTTTGACTTCTTTTTCTTTTTCTTCTTTGGACCAAAAAGCAAGACCAGCTATTCCCCAGCTAGTCCTAAGGTATGTTATATTCTTTACTCTTATAAGAAACTAATATGTAGTATTATAGATCATAATCGAAAACAGCACCGGTGCTAGCTGGGGGGTAGTTTGGTTCTTACCAAACTTTGGCCCCATCCACCCTCTCTTGCTCTCTTCTCGTGTCTCTTGCTTGCTTCTTTTTTTTTTCTTTGCTCTTTCCGGGCTGGTTATCGCTGACCCAGCCAGATACACTTCGGGTAAGATATTAATAGTTTCTTTTAAATGTCTATTCTTTTTCTCTTATAAATTATCTTTTTTATAATGTAAGTATTTAATATTAAATTATTAACTGATTTACTAATCATTTCTTTATTCATTCTCTTGCATCTTGTATGCTCTCTTTTATTATTGTTTGCTGTCTCATTTGTTGTCTGAAATTATCATTTTTTTATCAGTGTGCAGATAATTTGTGAATAAAGTGTAGAAGAAATATGTTTAGCATACGCTCATTTTTTTTTTATTCAGCTTTGTGCAACTCTCAGGAACATTTACATAAAGCAACAAACGCGTATCTTGTAACATTGTGTTGCTTAGGAGCAACAGCTAAATAATACTTTCTCTGATATTCACTCTAAAGAACAAATGCGTATTGCCCTTGTTGCCCTTTGCAAATACTCAATGCTTCGGACCTTGTGCAATCTTGTGCGTAGAAGTTTAAGAAAGACGCACATTCTAGAACGCACAGTCGAGTGTTGAAGAAGACGTTACTTCTTCTTAACAGAGCAGCAATCTATCCTTTATGGCTAAATATCATATTGTCGTAGATGGTACTGCTTACCTAGCCATGAACGATTAAAGCCTTTATTTAGAATAAACTTTCATTAAAAGTATAGGCGCCCCATGGGAATGCCTTGAAGGATGGAATATCTTGTGAAATGATTGGCGCATCTGTCAAGTATTCCATAAACACAACATCTAAAAATTTGCCAAATTTATACCCCACTTGATGTGTAACTCCACAATGGCGAAATCCAAACTTAGAAAACAGCACAATCGAGCCTTCATTGTCAGCTGTGATACTTGCAATGATGCTATGAAACTGCATATCTTTAGCAATTCGTAGCATTTCCTTGAGCATGAGACCACCGAGACCTTTTCGTTGATGTTGTTGATGAATATACAAAGAAACTTCAGTAGATCTATCAACAAAATATATAAATGAGTCAATGTACATTTATATACTACTTATATTTACAACACGTATGCAGGGTGTGGTCTAAATGATCCAAAGCAAGCATAAGCAACAGCCTTGTCTGATTCTTTCTCTGCAGCAACAATGATAGGATAACCTTTTGATTTAAGGTCATTGAACCAAGTAAGTCTATTTTCTAATGAAACTGTATTGTACACAAATATACAAGTGGAATTGGAGATGCGTTCATTAAATATCTCGCATATCTGAGGCAAATCTGCTTCAGTAGCTTCTCTGATATTATACAATTCTAAAGTTTTATTCATTGAAAGAATATAAAATGAAAAAGAAAGGGCAAAACTTTTAAATCTATTTAAGCTCAGTATATCGTATCACAGTCCAAGTTCAGATAACCTTGTTTGTAGTATCTTTTTAGTAAACAAGAAGAAAGAAAAGTAAAGAAAAAGGAAAAAAAAAAAAAAGATATCTTGTCTTCAGTTCAAAGAAATATACCCATTCCTATTCCTCTCTTTCATATCGAAAGAACTGGCAACGACTTTCCTATCTGATAAGCACTTTTAAAGTCAGAGGGAAATTTTTGAGCCTTTTTCTTTTGTCTTGCAATGGCAAATGAGGAGAAAGTCTTAGTGGTGAATGAGAATAAGTTTGTCATTGCAGCAACTATTATACCTTTCTCGATCGCTGGTGTTCTTATAAGGATTGCGCTTAGTCGTTTAGAGACCTATTCTGGAGCACCTGTTTTCAGTCTTGTTTATGCACAGTGGATTGGATGTTTTATTATGGGAGTTGTTATGACAAATAAGACTTTACTATTTCAATGGTAAATATAAAAATATAGACAAGAAGCACTAGATTTGACATCAAAAGGTACTATCCTCTTCACGGTGGCTTATCGTCTGGCCTTTGTGGTTCTATCACAACGTTCTCCTCTTGGCAACTAGGAATCTTTAAAGAGTTTGCCAATTACAATGCAAACCCACATACCTCAGGAAAGAATGTACTGGCAGCAATATCTGTGTTCCTGGTGACGCTTTCCATGTCTCAACAAGCTCTACTATTTGGTCAGCACATAGGAAAGATGTATAAGAGAACAGATATTCCAGAAGTAAAAGTTGCTCCACAAGGCTTTACATCAAAATATCTGTCAATGAAAGATTATTTGGTGATATCCTTTGGTATGCTCTGTTGGATCGGTGTAGTTTTTGCTGCAGTCTTTGGAAAGAGCCAAAAAGAACTTACATTAGCCTGCGTGTTTGCTCCTGCTGGTGCACTCCTAAGATGGGTGCTATCATTTTATAATTCATCTCTATATTCGCTCTTTTTTGTAGGCACATTTACTGCCAACATATTAGGCACAATCATACTAGCAGCTCTGTCTCTTCTACAGTCAGGTGCAATCATCATGACTCCAATTAAATGCTATGTCCTACAGGCACTTGCTGACGGATTTTGTGGGTGTTTAACAACTATTTCAACCTTTATGGTAATCCCAAAGTTTAGTTTACAAAAAAAGAGAGATTTACCTAAATTATGTAGGTTGAATTAAACGCATTACCTTTGGTAAACAGTTACATCTATGGTATATCCTCTGTCGTTGTTGCGCAATGCTTTATGTTTGTCATTCTGGGTTCCTATATCTGGACTCAGGGCGTGCATCCATCAGCCATTTGCGTGTCGTAACAATAAAAGCCATTTCTATGATCCTGTCTTATTGGATCTATGCCCTATGGATTACTAGAGGGTAGTTCCGTATGAAGGAATTTGAAAAGCGTATCGTGGTAACTGTTGACGCTTTGGCCAAAGATTTTGATATTGAGCGAGTAAATATTGCCATCAACTATAATATGACAGAAAAGCATCGATTGTTATCTTTTCAGAGTAGATTGTGTTGACCATTTTGGTATCAAAGGTTTGTCGGTCATTTTTATCTCAGATGACAAAGATAATGAGATCCTCAAGGATGTTCAAAGCAAATTTGAAATCGACAAACTGTTTCTGGGAGACATCTCAAGACGTATCTATGATATCCTAAATCAGCCTTGTATGAATAAAGTGATAGAGAAGGCAACAAAGGGGCAGCTATGATTGATATTGATTTATTTAACAAATGAAAACGAGAAATAAAAAAAAATTATGCATAATAGATAAAAGCTAGATTATTTGTTAATTTTGTGCTTTTTCTCCAGTTCATTGAGGTTGTCCTTGAGTGCAGCTGTCTCCTGTTCTTGTTTCTCTAATGCTTTACGCAATAGCTTGATTTTTTCAGCGTCCTGTTGTACAGTTTGTAAATATTCTTATCAATAAAAAGTTACACCTACATGTGCACGGGCCCATTGATTTTCAATAGCCTTTTCCTTTTCACCAAAAGCACCAGTACTTGCAGTTGCGCCTTCACTGCCTGTGTGATATGTAGTAAATCGTCTAGTAAGACGAAGTATAGGAAGTCGAGAAGAGCGTTGAAATGATCTTGAAAGCATGTTGTAAATAAAGAAAGAAAGGGAAAAGCAAATTGTAGTTTTATATATATTCGCGCGAGAAAGAATGAGCTGATTTGCTTGTATTGGTTAATTTCGGAACTCAGAGAAACATCCTTTTTGAATTTATGCAGCTTACAAGCTAACTGCATTTCACTCTAAAAGAATAAACTATGCTTCATAAATGACCTTTGGCAATCATCTTTAGCTTATTCAAAAGTAACAGTCAACCTTAATGTCTTTTTTAAATCCTCGATCCATTCTCTTGACCTTTTTTTAGAATACCCTTTATTTTCTCATGATAAACCCACACTTCTTACACATGAGGCCATTTTTTTTAAAGAAAAGGAAGAAGAATAGGTAGACACAGAGGGTAAATAACGACATTAAAATCAAGCCATTGCTGCCTCAAGTTTATGTACATGATCATTCAATAATTCATACTCCACTCACAATGTTAAATATCATCCAATGAAACTGTTTTCAAGTCTGGGGAAAGCATCCTCCCCTTTTTGAATATACAAAAAAAAAAGAAGAAGATTTGTATTAGAAAGAAGCGCAGGATGTGAGTATAAAAGAAGTAGCTAACAAGGACCATACATTCTTAAGGGGTTATTCATTTTCATATGAACAAGGATATTAAAGGACACGGAAACATCCGGCAAAAGGAACAAGATATTTCTCTGCTTTCGGAACCTTTTCCGGGTAATCCGTCGACACTAATCTGCTAAATTAGAAATGAAGTGCACACTAATAAAAGGCTTTATTTAATGCTTGAATTGTGTACAAATACTCTTTTTCAAAAAGGAGGAACTCTTGATATCCCATCTTGGTCAGCGTAACATTGTTATTTGGAGAAAAAGAGAAAAAGAAGCACGTAATCCTGATGAATTGTTCTCTTATAAACTAGGGTTAACTCTTTTTGTGGGATACGTTTGACATCTCTTCAATTTGGTTAACTCTCGTTTTTACTTTATTTTACTTCCAGGTTACAAATACAATTGTATAATAGACTGATCACATGCACGGCGTCTATCTTCTCTCTCTCTTTTTGTTTCTGTCCAAGGAACAAGCTGTAACCTGGTATTTTTAAGATCAGGCTCCTCCCTAATAGTTAGTAAAGATGACAGGTCCAGAAACATCTTGGTTTAAAACCAAACGAATACGCTACTATGTGTTTGAAAGTATAGAATAGATGTTACAGTCTGACAAAAGAAAGATGGCTATCAAACCCGTTCTCTTAAGCTGAGAATCTTTTATCTTCAGTTACTAAACCGTGACTTCTTCCGAACTGAAACAATACACGTCGTATGTTCCAACAAAAGTTGTTTTGTAATTTCTATTTTGGTCAGATCAATGACGTAGAGAACGTTGGCTGCATTGAATGAGTAACATAAAATGATACGTAATGTGAAGCATATTGCTAAACCTGGTTAATATGCCACAGTTTATGTAATCAAGAAAGGGCGGAAAAAATAAAGCATTGTTATTTCGACTACATCAATTTTTTTTGACTATATAAACAGGGCTTAAAATACTTCCTTTTCCTTTCAATTTCTTTCATCATTATGAAGCTTCTCTCTCTCTTATTCACTGTGGCTCCTCTCCTCTATATTATTTCTGCTGCTCCTTCTTCAGGGACATGTAAACCGGGCGATACATTCAAGGCAAAAGACGCTTGTAATATATGCACATGTACAAAATCTGGTCGAAAAGAAGACGCTGATTGTAGTAATATGCTTTGCTTATTTGAAAAAGAAAAGAGTGGTGCTCGGTGTAAGCCATATACAACTTTCCAATACAATTGTTACCTATGCTTCTGTCCTGAAAGTGGCTTACGACACGATGCAGGATGCTATACCATGACTTGTGATAGACCTAACTAAATGTATAATGAAGACTTGTACAGTAAGACAATAAGATTAAAGCCAGAAACAAATAAAACATTCAGCCAAAGTGGCTGAACTGGGTTAATTTGATATTTTGAAAAACAGTAATAATGACAGCAGTAACTGTCTATATATTACATGTACTATTTCTTTCTTTTAATGTGTGTTTTCGTGTATATTTATTATTGTAAGTTAGTCGTGGAAGGAGGTAAAATAATTCCAAGTTGCTTGCGAAACTCATCAAGTGGCATATGAAAATTATGTTCATAGTAGACGTTCATAAGAGGTGTACACGACGCACCACACTGAAGTGCCCACGGTACATAGTTTCGGTAAAGCCTGATGCGCTCTGGCCAAGTCAATCGAAGTGGGCCAAAGAGGGAGGCGAGCATTGTCATGGGAAGACCTGTCTGCACCCACTCAAACCATTTTAATGCGACTTCTTCTTCTACTGTAACACCCAGACCAGTCAATGTATGAAAGAAATCATGAATTTGACGATATCGGTTCATGACATAGGCTAGCTCCTCATCGTCTACAAATTGAACCTATTACAGCAAATGATATCAACATGGTGCATGTCCTTGTTTTCTTTTGTTTACCTCACAGCGAGTATCAGGTGTAACACCTTCACCCTCAAGCCAAGAAACATAGGCATGTCCAAATGTACCTGGTGCACATTCTTCCTTGAGCTTATCAAAATCAATTGTCTTTGTATTAATTACTGGTCGTTCTCGTAAAATACGGCGTCCTTCGTCTGACTGAAGCATTTGATCTCGAATCCTGGTTAAAAATAAGTGGCCTGTTGTTTCTCCTAATGTTGCTACCATGTCTAATCATATATTAATATTTGCTAAGGTTATCGTTGTATCTAATACCTCCTCGCAGCGGGTTGGCAAGTGCAGCAAATGCAGATCCAACAGTCAAAACAGTTCTTTCAGTGTTTGAAATCGGAATGTGGGTATCATACAGCTTGTGTTTTTTCTCTAAATTACAATCAATCAAACAGTATTACCGACATGACAAGCTTAATTTACCTTGATTTACTGCGCTGGTTGACGACCAAGAGCGAGCAAGTAGACGTAAACAAGGTTGTTGAGCAGCAAGCAACTTGTAACGAACTCGCTGCATAATTTTCTTAAAATGAAAAAAAGAAGCGAGAAGAGAGGGAGGAGGGTGCAGGAAGGGGGGAGTGAATGTAGCTGAAAAAGAAAATGGTGATCCCAGTAAAGGAACTGATTGCTTTTTTTTTTTTTATTTTTATACAGACAGCAATGGATGCGCAGCCAACAATGAATAAAACAGTACCTTCCTCATCCAAGCGGCGCCCTGTCCAAAGAAAGAAGAAGCCGGTGATGACAGCCAAACAAAAGCTCATCAAAGATAGCGCAGTACATCGCCAAAAGATTGATAAGCTTGTCTTTGTTTGGCAGGAGAAACTCTTTTCACAACCAAAAGTTCCAAAGCCTATGCTTGAGAAGGCAGTGACATATCTTCAGCCAAGGACATTTGCTGAGGTTATTGAAGAACGTGTGGTTCAGAATTGGTGTGGATATCCGTTGTGCGATAGTGAACCTCAGCAGCTTCACAAGTACAAAATCTCACTTGTGCAGAGAAAAGTATTTGATCAGACAGAACTTGCTAGTTATTGCTCGGAATCATGTTTTATGAAATCAAAGTACTATAGTCTACAGTTATCAGAGGAACCTGTTTGGTTTCGAGACTTGAATAAACAGGTCGAGGTTCATGTGATCACGCCTGATCAAGACTTTGAGTAAGTCATGCACTTATAAAGAAGAAAAGGAATGAACTTATGCTCTTTTAAATAGATCAGCAGTGAACCAACGACGATTGAAGACAGAAATAAAGAAAACAGGAGAGGATATTCGACAGTATTATGTTCAACATTTACTCGATAATATACCAAAGGGATCTCTAGAGAATCCGCTAGAGATTGTAGAGAAAGACACTGCCAAGTCTGTGGCTGCCCCTAGCGTACATACTTTTGATACTATCGAAGGATATAAAATTGAGATCAACCCTGACAGAAAAGCGTCTGCAACAGTAGTACTCAAGAAGAAGGACAAGAAACCAGAACAAACCCAAGAAGAAAAAGAAGAAGTTATAGATCCCACAGACGAAGATGAGCTGTTTAGAACTATGATGATGCTAAAGAATATGAATATGGATAAACCAGACATAGTAACTGAGCCAAAGAGTGCTTCTGCAGCGACATCTGTAGACACGACGGAGGAGAACGTGATACAGGTCCAAACAAAACCGCAACCTAAACAAAAGGACAGAAAACGCCCTGTATTATCACTGTTTGGGAGTATATGGACTATGCTAGACCATATGACCACAAGGGCAACAAGGATCTATTTAAGTGATCTGCAAAAACATCAAACAAGACTCAATGTCATGCTCCTACTACAGGAAGAGAGCCGAACTCTGGATGAAACGACTTATCTCAGAGGGCAGATATTGAGTGAACGTATTCTAGAAGCGTATGTTACTATTACATTATTAGGTTAGGTCATTAACTCGATATGTATAGGTACCAAATCATAAGAACACAGATAGGGATCCAAGAAAATATGGAAGATGACATAGTCAACATTATTAAAACATTCAACCTCTCTGATCCTTCTGCTGTTACGCTTGACCCTGCACAATGTTATATGCTCGCACTAGTCTTGGTAAAGGCAATAGCTGACATTTCTTTAAAAAGCTCTGCATGGAAAGCTCCATTTGAGGACTGCTGTAAAGCTGTGGAGCAATCTTCAGACATGGTGGATGCATGCGTCCGCGTTCTAAAAGTTGCAAGTGTATAATAATAATGTAGAAGATAATAAAGCCCTTAGGATGAATTTAAAAATGCGCAATCCTTTGCTTTTAAAAAGTATCTAACTAAACAAATGGATATGAACATACTATTTTTATGCGTACGACCGTTACACTGCGCTGTGTTTGAAAGGACGCTTTGGCCTCTTCTTCCAAGATCTTTCTCTCTCTTTATATGCAAAACTTTATGGAAAAAAAAAAAAACAGAAGCAGAGAGAATGAGGGATACAATATGGTATCGGGCCGAGGCTCTTTTATTGTAATTGCACATCAAACAAGATCAACCGTCTCCTTGTCCGAGATTTTAACTATTTTTTAAAAAGAAGGACAGTATATAAATAGGGCTTTCTCTATTTTTTTTATAATGACATGGTGCCTGTGAAATCATCATTGATAGACAATATAGTCTACAGAACCTATCTTCCTAATGCTGTGATTATTATATCCGTCGTTTATATTTTCTCGTATTTGGTTCAATCTATTACAAAACTATATCACCAGCGTCAAAAAAGAATAGAAAGACAAGAGAGACAACGGCTAAAAGCTAATTGGAAACGAATCGCGGCTAAGCAACAATTCACCAATGACCTATCCTGTCCTCAGCCTGTTTATCATTCTTCTTCATCGTCATCGTCATTAACGTTATATAATCATCATCTGGATCATTCCACAGAAAGCGCTTACTTTTGGACAAGACAACAAAAGAAACGACTCCAGTTACTATGGAATTGGAGTGTTGCTATGGGGTACTGTGAATACAGCCATGGTAGAGAACTGAATGCATTAATTGAAATGTTACTAAAAGAGAAAAATGGGACTTAATGTCAAATTATTGTATTAAAACATGAAGACCAAAATATGACGTCTATTCAATAAATTCGTTGCTTGCTTATTAACCCCATCATGATATCATTCTTTTTGCATATAAAACAAGCAATAGAAGCTTTATCTATATTAAAAAAAAACGCATATATATTTTTGTATTATTATTATTATGTATTAAAAGAAGCGTCGAAATAGACTATTAAAGCTAGTTGACTCCTTTTGTTCCGGTAAAGACTCTTTCTTTAAATCATGCTGATCCACATCCACCAATGGAGGCATTGGCTATATATACAAATATAGAAACATAAATGACTCTATATGGTCAATCATCTCTCTCTCTCTTTGTTTATTACCTTGTCCAGTTCATCTTCATCCGATTCTTCATCAAACTCTACAAACTCTTGTGATCTCATTCTTAGCCACTGCATCTGTGGTCCCGATCTTGAACTTTCATGCACTCTGAATCCGAATATACGAGGCTGGTAAATGTACGGTTTGATCTTGGGTAATAAATCCGGATAGGTTTCAAACAGTAGGTGAGGGAATGTAGTTCCAAAGTGTGCACCTAGACAGACATCAATATGAATGCTGCACACTCACAATAAATGAATCAAGTCCTTTTTCTTTACCATCAATTGTTTGGAGTATTGAAGTAGGAGGGCAGTAAAGATCAAGACAGGAAGGACAATAGAGTCTGACACTCTCTTTACCGATTTCATCATATCTACCACAAGGAATGACCGGACACCTGTAGCAGTACACTCTTGGACAAGTTCCAAAATGTTCATTAGAATACCTCTGTGCCATGACTCTTAGTCCGTTGCGTGTGAGTAAATAGCGCTGATGGATAAGTCCATAGAGCATAATAGCATAAGGTTCTACCGTATTTGGGTCCACCCAGCTCTTTTTATTATCTTTTGCAGTGTCCTTATCGTCATGTGTCTCTTCTGATTCAATGTCCAAGATCATGTCAATGGCTTCTTGATAATAAGGAACAATAGCTGATAGACCAGTCAAATTGAAGTCGTCTTCGATAAATTCCTCGGGAACTTCAATATAAAATTCATGGCCTGACAATGAACAAAACCAACTTATCCAACTTTGAAGAGAGCCATCAGAGTCATCATTGTCTACTGTATGTTAATATACTAACATTATATATTCATAAGTGTACCTTCATAAAACAATTCTTCTTCATTTTCTGCTGTTGTTCTATCCATTCAGATAATAAATAAAACTCTTGTGTACTGTGTCTTTTTGGCTTTACAAAAGAAATAAAAAAAGAAAAAGAAAAAAATACAGCATAGTTTGTGAGGGAAAAAAAAAAGAGAGACAGAACAAAATAAGCCCTATTTTTTATTATTGGTTGAAAATTATTTATTTTCGTTTCTTCTTCATGACAGAGACGATCAAGGGAATAGACGCAGCGTGTCAAACGGACATTGTGTGGAAAGATAGTCCAGTAGACAAATCCGTTTGGACAGATGAGAAATTAGCCAAGTATAGAAAGATGAAGAGAAAGCTGATTCGTTTGATTGCCGTAATTATCATAATCATTATTACATACACACACACTCACACACACTCACACGCGTGCATGTATACATACGTGCGTATGTGTGTGTATGTGTATGTATAAACATGTATTGTATTCATCATTTTACTATAGAGACATAAAGAGGCTCAAAATGCATTAAATACAGCACAACGCAGGTTGCAAGCATATACAAGGAAGGGGTAAGTAATCTATTCAATAACAAGATTGGTGTTGACAAGTAAGTGATAGTAAAAGCAAGATAACTGATATGGATCCAATGGATATATCTGAAGAAGAAGAAGAAGAAGAAGAAGAAGAAGATAGTGATATCTCAGACGATGACGGTGAATGTAAATTGTATATAAACATATAAACATAAGCTCATTTCCATGGAAACAGATAGGAAAAAGAAACGTCGCTATCAAAAAAGACGCTATAGCATTCAAAGAAATGAAGATGGATCAATTCAGTTGCCAGCACAGATTGTAGCGTCCTTAAGAATCATTGAGTTAGGACGAATTGACTATGAGCGACCTGCATTTCATAATGACAGATACATTTTTCCTATTGGTTATACTGCTGAGAGGTAAAATCAATATATACCTAATACTGATATCATAGACACTAATATGTGCATTAGAACTTACATGAGTATGGTTGACCCATCAAATCAAACTATATATACCTGTAAAGTAGAAGATAGCCATGATGGACCATTGGTAATGCAATATGAATATATATATAAGTTCAATGATATAACCTGCCTATTATTATCATTGTAGTTTACACTTTCTCCAGCTGATGCTCCCGATCAGTGCTTGTCTGCAAGGACAGCTACGGGTGTATGGGCACTTGTTATCAAAAAGGTGAATGAGGTCAGACAGAAGGATTCAAGCAATGCGATCTCTGGACCAGAATATTATGGGTTTTCTAATCCAACAGTAAGGGAAATGATTGAAGAACTACCTAATGTTGATAAATGTACAAAATATCGAAAAAAATGAGCTTTTACTTTTTTGTATAGTTTCCCTTAAAAAAATAAACTTTTTGTGTAAACAGAATGATGTCAATGCATTTTACTGATAATATATAAATTTGCCCATCCTTTTTTTTTTCTTTTATTATTCATTCATATTTCTCGTATTATAAAGATGGAAGATTCTAGAAAGCGTATGGCAATTGATGCAATCATTGATAATGACACACTACCGTTATCACCTCCTGCTTCATACAAAAGTTCAAGTAGATCGCCTTCACCCGAGTGTATATCCCAAGAAAGAAGGAATTCACATCCACCAATGTCTGCAGAAGAAAGAAGATACAGAAATAAATTGGCATCTGCTAAATACAGAGCTAAAAAGCAACAATCTATGAAGAATATGGCCAGTAAAGTATCTCAACTGATGACAAGTAACTATCAGCTGTCAAGGGAATTAGCCAAAGTTAAACAAGAAAATGAAATATTACGTACAATGTACGAAAGAGTCATCTCTCAGCAGCATTTACCTCCCCCCATCTTGACCAATCATTATGCTTTACCCCCAATTCAATCCAATCCATCATCTTGAGCTATTTCTTTTGTAAATATTCGGTAATTTTTTTATATACATGTAGCATCTTTCTTTTTCTTTTTTTTTTTTGTTATATACCTTTTTTTTTCATTTGTACAAAATAAAATAAAAAGAACTAAGCCTAAAAAGACAAATTGATTCCTTTTCTTTCTCTTTATTTTTTTTTTATAAGTATGGGAAAGCCAATAACATCCAAAGATAAAGTGATGTTCTTGGCTACGGCTGATGAACAGAATGAAAGTCAACTATTTCAAGAATTATGTACTGCGGCTAGAGAAGGGGATATTGAACAAGTAGAAAATTTAGTCAAACATTTTAATGCACCTATTAATTATGTGGATGAGTGGCAGTGCTCTCCACTTTACTGGGCATGTACGTAATCATACACAATGAATATAGTCTCTTATTGTATATTGTAGGCCTTTGTGGGCATTATGCTATTGTCAAATATTTATTAGAAAGTGGAGCACAGTGTGACAGAAATACCTTTCAAGGGTAAAAATCTAGGCTCAATAAATATAAAAAGAGAGGAAGATTAATTAATTATCCTAGGGAACGGTGTTTATATGGAGCATTAACTAGTGATATCAGAAATTTATTGTTATCTTACAAACTAACCAAGGCTGTTGATGAAGACCAGCCCTATTTACTTTACTTGACTCAACTTTTTGAAAGTCATGCTCATCATGATTTGACATTTCAAATACCTATGACAGAAGATCATCATGAGTTCTATGTTCACAAGTTTATTCTGGCAGCAAGATCACCTTATTTCGGCAAGAATTTGCTCAATCGATGGTCGGAACAGGATCATGTCAAATTACAGAGAAACTTGGTTCATCCGATGACATTTTCAGCATTGTTACGTTACATTTACACAGGTTACATTGACTACGCACTCGATAATGACATTCTCGACAACATGCTATTTGCTGCCAAGCATCTAGAATTCCACCATCTCCACTCACTCCTACTTGAGCAAAAAAGCACAAACGATGCACTTCGATCACATAGTAAACAGGAGATAATAATGCTACGTCATGATTTTGAAAAGTTTTATATCGGCATGATCACAGTTGCCATGCGAGCTGAGCCACAGCAAGAACGAACTTGGATTATGATCGAACCTTGGGCTGCAGAGTCGCTCGAATGCTCTCCCAAGAGCATCTTTGCGGACATTGCTATTAAATTACACAATAACATCATTTTTCCGTGCCACAAAGCTTATTTGTGTCGGGTAGAGCTTTTTAATACCATGTTGAGTGGCCCGTTTGGTGAGCAAGACGCCAAGTTAGTTACGCTTGTGTATCCCGGCCAGACCAATCTGGTACTTCCTCTGATTGAACTATATGATGTGGATGCAGACATATTCGGTTACTATATTCTTCAGTTTATATATACAGATAAATGTAACATCCCTGCAGAAGATGCATATGATGTATTACTAGTCGCCGATATGTTGTTAATTGACCGACTCAAGGCGATGGCTGCCATTGTGATTACCAACCAGAAAGAGCCTATTATAGATATATATGAGCTCATACAGACAGCCATCGAGTTACAAGTAGAGAGGGTAGAACAATATTGTATAAAATACTTTGCACATCATTTAGACGATTTCATTCATCAACCTCAATTCTTGAATTTAATAAAACAGAGCGCAGCAAGCATTAAGAAACGAGAAGAGACAGGTAAAAATGACGTGAACAAATGATAGTACTAACTATAAAGATTCCATTCCTTTTATTGATGATCTAAGGTACTTTTTAACAAAAGAGCATTTCATTGCTGAAGAAGACTTGAATGAATTAGGAAGGGTTAATGACGAATATCAAGAGACATGGACTGAACTAGAGACGCTTTATAATCAAAAATTAGAAATGCTGGACCAAGCTTTAAGTTCGCTTGGATTAGAAGCTTAATTCATGTGTTACTGCTATAAATGGTATTTCCAAAAATGGTAATGATTATAAATAAAGAGGCTTTACCAAATAAAAATAAGCTTTGTGTCAAACTAGAACTTTCCTCTTTTTTAAAAAAAAAAGGGGGGGGGACTGTTGACGTAAAGTAATAAACAAATCAAATGATGTAATACTACAAGATCGATATTTTACTTTATAAAGTAATCGGCAATTATTTAGACTTATGCTACATGATAGGATAGTGTATGACTTTCGGTATCACTTATGATGCCATAGGCAATAAAGCAATTCCATGTGATATATTAGTCTAACTATCATCAACAAAATGGGATGGCGTATCAACATAATTAGCCAGGATGCTGTTATTGTCACTATTGTCTTGAAAGGTTTAAATGACGTAGGTAGACAATACCAGGTTGTTTACACATGCACTTGCATGCATGTACATAGTAACGATGCATATTAGTATTATTGTTCATAAATGGAGTGCATCAAATTTGCGAGAAAGAGTGTGCAGTTTGTTATAAAGTGTTGACCCACATAGTTCTGATAAACTAGCCTTCAATTAGTCTTCTCTTTCCTTACTTTCAAGTTGGAAATTACGGTTCGACTTTTATACTACAAGAAAACGAAGAATGATCTTGCATATTTCATTAGCATCACACAATGGGCAAATCTAACCTTGTAGGAAAAAAACTGTAATGATTTACATAAGAAATTACTTTGCTGAAGGAGTTCCTTAATATTTATGCAAACTCAAAATTATCAAAGAATACATATAATATAGAAAAAAGAAGCTCTATAAAGTTTACATGAAGTGGCCCTCTTGATGGTATCTCGACAAGACCTTTAGTTCCATATGACGTTATTATATTCATACCTAAAGGGCTAAAAGATGAAAACAGAGGAACATGCTTCGATTTCTACATTGTCCTTTGCAACTATAAAAGTATATAAAATTTGCTAAAATAAACTCATTTAGTATAGTCATATTTATTAGAAAAAAAAAAGTTATGCATAAACACGTCAGTTATAATGTATTCTTTTTAGATGTAAAATCAAATAACAAGGCGCCTAGTGAAGCCTCGGTGTGTAAGAGAATTGCCCTTCTTCAGCAAGGACAACATTTACAAAATCAGCTTGCAGAAGAATAGAAACGAATCTACTAACTATCTGAAAAGCAATTATACAGCTTGATGAACAAATAATATATGCCCTTTTAAAGCATGATCCACTAACGGATACTAATCTAAACATTTTCGCAAATGCGTGCTCACACTTCATTTCTCAACCCAGCTGTGATGTTTGCATGAGTTGAGCTGTACTCACTCAAATAAACCGTTCTAATTATTGCTTCGTTTCACAGTTTCATACACTCTCTTTTTTCCTAACATCAACTCCAATACCGCAGTTATCTGTGAAATCAATTAATTTAAACAGTCCACAAAACGATGGTTTTGAGAGGAAGGTTGTACTGATGAGAACAATGATGTTATGATACTTGGAGCATAGAATGGCAATCTTTTCTTAGAAAAAGGTGAAAAATATATTGTTAGTTTATAGACTTTAGCAATGTGCATAAGGTAGCCTGCCGTTCATTCTTTGTCTTCTTCAATTTCTTGTCGAATCATTACATCTTTTGGCAATTTGTTTGCAAAAGTTTTTCTCAGTCATATCAACACTCCAGTCCGAGTATTTGAATGGAAAGAGTAAACTCTCCAAAATCCATGATACTTTTTTTGAAAAAAGACGCTTTATATAAATAGTGATTGTGTAAAGATTATTCTTGATACTTACTGCGCATAGGGTACAGAGAAGTAGGATTTCACTCATATATGATCTGAGCATTTATGTGACCTACAAGCGAAAGAATATGGGGATGACACGATATCTCAATGGCCATATGTTGACAAGACAGACTAGCCTGATAGAAGTTAAGCATATAGAGTATTTGGTACGCATTGAGGAGAATTAAGCTGATGTGAGAATCATTCACGTTTATCTGTTCTCATGTTAAATACAATGTGTATAAATTAAGAAGAAAGGCTTTTGTTCTGACGAATCATAAGATAGCCAATGTCCTATATCAAAAAATAGAGTAAAATAGTCATACATACCATAACAAAAAGGTCTGTATATGTACTAGAATTGATGAACATTTCATTTCAAAGATTTAATCCTTTTTCTACAAGTGAGGAAAAGTAATTACGTTGGCTTTCTATGGCAACCTCATACAACATCTCTACAAGACAGAGATTAGTTAGACGGTCCTCGAGGAAGCGTATTACATTTGTTCACTGTCCGATTTTCCATAAAGATTGCTCAATAGTAAAGATGTTGCTGCTTCAAAAGCATCATAGACGGTTTATCAAATTTAACAGTTAGGCCTAATCTAGTAACGGTTTCTTCCAAATTTGGAGAAAATACTGACTGTCGTCGATACTGGTTTAGTGAAATAAAGACTACAGTTGAACCATCCTATTCTATTAAAGAAGCTCAGGGACCAGTTGAAAAGAGCGTATTCTCCTAGCTTCAGCCTAGGAAATATATCCTTAAATTTATAGTGACGATCAACATTTATATTATGTAGTACTTGGTTAAGACAGAGTGTACTCTTCTGTTACTTAAAGTTTCCATATTTAATAAGCATAGATCTTGTGTGAGTTTCTATATTTAGCAGAAGCTGCATAATTTCCCTTTTGATACACATAATACAAGCTTCTTTGTTTTTGACTCTCTTTATTTAATTGCAGCCAGACATATCTGAGCAATACGACATTTTCAGAAACTATTCGCACACAATTTAAAACCAATAACAATTACACTTTAGTTGATTATCTATCCTTTCTTTATTATTAAAAAGGTAATGAATTCTATCTTTTTGAGAGAAGATAAATGTGGTCAATGCTTATGAATAACACGTAACTGAAAAAGCTGTTAGAGGCTTTGTTTAAATAGTCTGATTTTGACTTCTTTTTCTTTTTCTTCTTTGGACCAAAAAGCAAGACCAGCTATTCCCCAGCTAGTCCTAAGGTATGTTATATTCTTTACTCTTATAAGAAACTAATATGTAGTATTATAGATCATAATCGAAAACAGCACCGGTGCTAGCTGGGGGGTAGTTTGGTTCTTACCAAACTTTGGCCCCATCCACCCTCTCTTGCTCTCTTCTCGTGTCTCTTGCTTGCTTCTTTTTTTTTTCTTTGCTCTTTCCGGGCTGGTTATCGCTGACCCAGCCAGATACACTTCGGGTAAGATATTAATAGTTTCTTTTAAATGTCTATTCTTTTTCTCTTATAAATTATCTTTTTTATAATGTAAGTATTTAATATTAAATTATTAACTGATTTACTAATCATTTCTTTATTCATTCTCTTGCATCTTGTATGCTCTCTTTTATTATTGTTTGCTGTCTCATTTGTTGTCTGAAATTATCATTTTTTTATCAGTGTGCAGATAAAGTGTACGACATTTGCTAGACTTAATTTCATGTTTATATTAAATATTTTCAAGAGACCACATTTAATGATGGCCTTTATATTCTAATAAATAGTCTCTCTTCTGAGCTAAGGCAACGTATCGAATTCTATATGGTTACGCAGGTTTGTACACTTTGGACGTATTAGCTATCATATTACAGTGAAGAAACCAGTGCAATTCTGTTTAGTTCACGGCCATTTTATAATGCATAATGTACAGACTCTTGATCAAAAGTTGGAGTAGAAATAACGGATGCGTCTTTACTTGAAAGTATACATTGTATTATAAATATTTAAAAATGCTTACGGGAAAAGATGTGTGAGGTTTTTATTCTTATGAGATGCCTTCAATTGAACATTGAACCTATGCTATACAAAATGTAATATATATGATCTCATTACATAGTATAAGCTATAGCTCATTTTCCCATGAAAGAAAGGTTAACTTTTAAGATCGCCTACTTAAAGTAAATATAATGTTAAGAGCATATCCTAAAATGAGCGAGATTAAGGGTAGTTCTGGGCTGAGTATGTAAGCTTCACACAGATTATTTCCCATTGTGGAAAAGCGATTCAGATCAAGATCCAAGGCACCGGCTTAACCTTTGGAGCTCAGAACGAAATAATAAAAAAAAAAAGCATGTATTATTATTATATAAAAAAGTTTTTAGTTGTAACGTATCTACAGTTGTCTATAAAAATAAGGAAGAAGAAAAAAGGAATGTAAAGTAAAGGAAGGAATCTATAGTTTTGATGGTTATTATTCTTGTTGTTATTGTCGTTGTTATGCTGCAGAAGATACAACTTTTTTGCCATAAGCCCATCGAACATTAAAGAAAGTTTGATATTCCACACACTCGTCAAATGCTGTGTCTAATAATGCTTCATAGCTGTCTTTATTGTATTCTCCATCCAATCCCATATATTCATATAAGCTGGGGCCAAGATGTTGAAATACGACCAACATATCCTAGTTACATGTATAAGGTAAAGTCTATTTTTTAAAGGAAAACCCTTTTTACCTCATAAAACAATTTGCCTATATAACCTCCCCAGCATAACGGAAGTGAACCATAATCAGATTTTACTTCTCTAAAACCAGCTTCAATCATAAGGTTGACGAGATTCCTTCCTTGAAGTACGTGGCCTAGTCTATCCCTAAGAAATTGTTGTACTGTATAATATGTGAGTGACATGGTTAATTGTATATTAATATACCTTACATGCTTTTATGAATTTAGAAAAAAGAGGGCCAGCTCTTTTTGGTATAACATCAGGTTCTATAAGTTCAACCCACCCATTTGGTTTAGTAACACGTAATATTTCTTGAAACATCCAAGGTATTTTATCTGAGGGATATACAATATACATCATTCTTTGATGAACATAATCAAATGTGTTTGATTCATAGTTAAATCCATCAAATAAATCTGCCTTTTCAATGTGGCAATTAACTGGCATATGTATTAACTCTATTTCACTTAAATGAATGGGTTCAGCTATATCAAAGCCATAAAACTGGCAGTTTGGGAAATCAATTGCCATATCTATATTTTACATCAGTAAATCTTTCTATTGTATTATTGGTAATTTTTACCTAGTATCCATGTAGCGTGTGCGCCACATCCAACATCTAGTGCTTTACTTCCAGGGTTTGAAAGTGCTTCCTCTACTGGCGCAAAGTAACTTCCTTGAAATAAATGTTTTAATAGATAGTGTTGACTCTGCTGACGATTGGCTTCCTCTTTATTATGTGGATAAGCATATTCTATTGGAAATTTTGGTTGACATGAAGAGGATGTTGAAATGTTGTTGGAACTTTCTGTTAATGACACAAGACTTCTACTCGATTTCTCATTAGACCTTTTTTTTGAAGAGACTTGGTTGCCCATAAAGTAAGAAAGAAAGAAAAAAAGAAAAAGAAAGAAAGGGTATTGGCTATATAAAAAAAAAAGAGAGGAATAGGGGTTGCAGATAGAAACAGATAGAGATAGAGAAAAAGAGAGAGAAAATGGCGGAGGAGGAAGAAAGATATCCCATGCTATTTTATTCTCATCCTGTTACACAGTAATTTTACAATGAACAGTAGCACGAGTGTAAATACACTGAAGGAGGCAAGCAGGGGGGGAGAGAGAGAGAGAGAGAAAGAATGATGAAAGAAAAGTAGAGGGATCAATTTCCTTTTGCTCTGTTCGTTTAGAAGATACTTGGCTCTATAAGTGACATTTATTATCCATGAGAAGGAAGAAACGAGCATTTGAAGCTGTGATACAGAACAAGTTACAGACAGTGATCATGGGGCTGTTTTTTATAATGGGAACGGTAAATATATGACACTTTACCAAAATTAAGTGACACTAAGTCGATATCCTAAAACTGCGATTTTCAATCTTGCCTGGATGATACAATTATCCATCATTAAATAACTGCCCTTTAGGTTTTTGTTAAGATCCATGACTTTGAGCAGACTATTAATAGATTTGATAATGTGCACACTTGCTGTACCTTTGGCTGCAGGTGTGATATTATCTTGAGTATTATCCTCATTCACATCAACGTACTTTGCTACTGGCTTCTCTATAATGAACACATCTGCAGCTTGTTTTTTATTAAATATACTAGAAAGTTTAACTAAAAGCTTTGTATATCTTTATATTTCTTGTAGTATTGCTTATGTTCTCATGACAACTCAATGTAATCTATCCATTAAGCGTACATGTTTGAAAAAAAATTTTCAAAGGTATAATTGGGCAGCAAACTGAGTTGGATTTTACTACAAATTGTATCTTTCATGATGAATCAGCCTTTCATATTATTTTTGGAACGAAGCATGAATGCATCAAAGAAGGAAGCTTTTGGGTAATAGTTGCAATAAATTAAAGTGAACACAATGTCGATTTTAGGCGCAATATCTACTACTGACTTGATTAAAATTAGTTTGATAACTTCAAAATGTGTCAAAAAGAGAAAGCTTGAACGTGAAACGAATGCTTATGACACAGGGATTGTGACAGGCTGCTATCTGAGATTTTTGAATACAACTCTTGATTAAAGGAGCATAGCATCTGAAATGAAAGGATGTTCCTTTACCATGAATAATGCTCCTATCTATGACTCATACTGCGTGAGAGAAAACTGACTCAGAAGCTGTTAGCTTGAACGCAGAAGGAATCCCTGTTAAAAAAGAAAAAGGATAGTTTTGTATTTTTGGTACAAAATCTATTACTGTCATCATCGTGGAGAAAAAGAGCTATCCAAGCATTCACTGGAGGAAAATCAGGGGGCATTCGATTTGTTCGGAAGGCCTCTAAGAAAATTAACTGGCAAGCAATCATGAAAAAAAGATGGTGAAAGTGAAGAAGTTGTTGTCAATGAAGTAGTTACAAATTCGGATAAATTGACAAACGAACTATCAAATATGTTGGCTGCCTATCGCTTATATTTGGATAATCTACTCTTGCTGAATGATAAGAAGCTTGCTCACATAAGAGATGCAGCTTCAATTTTTTCGAAATGTCATTGCTCGAAACAGACGCAATCAAATACCATCAAACCAGCGATACATGAGTGAAAGACGTTAAATAAAATTCTTTTGTACTAATTTTAATAAATCTGACAGCGAATACTTTTTGATATGCATATAAGTAAATTGTATATATTTGGATCGTATCCCCATTTAATCGTTTTTCTTTCTATTGAATAAAACAGCAAATGCTGTCAATTGGCCCTTTAATATCGCAGATGCAGAAGCTTATATTTTTGATAAACTGCAACTTGGTGTTACTAGAGTATTAAGGGTAAGTTCAAACAGTTGCTTGCGGACTATAATGTTATATTTGTAATTCAATATCTATTGTTATTGTAGAAGTTGATGATGGAGAAGACAAGCCGTAGGGATTCTGAAATTGAGCCCTTGGTACTTTCCCAGGCTTTTGAAGAAGACGAATACGTCTTAATTGATGTTATAAGAAGCTAGTAGTGCGAACTACACCTATTATGCGTTGTAATAGTATTTCACTAATCAAAACAAACAGCATCCAAAAACTTCCGTCAATTGACTCGACGAATGAAATTCGGGAAATGACGCTGTTCACCACTTTCGTTGAACCCGTGCTTGCTACAATGCTGAATAGGCCCGAAACGTACAAGTGCTTCCACTAGCAAGTTGGTTAATAATCCGCAGTCTGTTTTCAATTACTAACAACTTCTTTTTGATGAAAAAAAAAAAAAAAAAGGTTGAACCAGTAAGTTCTTGAATATGGCGCAGAGCCGACAAGCTTATGTCCCGACCCTATAACGACACTTGCTTGGTAAGAAACATATACTGATAAGGTAAATGAACTATAATTTCCAAAGTTGAGACACAAACAAATGCAATTAGTAAAACAGTCAATGATATGAAATAATTCTTTTTTTCACTTACAAAATATCGAATATTCAGAGTATTAAATATTTATTGTTGTTAAGCAATCAGTACAAGTTAATAAATCATTAAAGAAGACTTACCTTTCAAGAAGTATTACTATCATCGACAGCAGGCCAATCTTCGTTTGCAGTAAAGAAAGAAGCAGCATTCGTTTTAAATTTATCAGTGTTGGATTGACTGACTTTTGGGTCAAATTGAGGAAAGGTTGTATCAAAAAGGAGCGTTGCTAAACCGGAAAGACCAGTTGCCATTGCAGATAAGATATCTCTTCCTTTTACAGACTTTTTTGCTTGAACAGAGACACAACTTGGGTTGTCACAAACAAATGCGTCACTGATTGTTCGTAATCGTCTTGCACCATTTTTATAAACCGTTTTCACTGGATGAGACAGTTTTTGAAAGCAATAGCTGCATGTTTGGGAGATATTGTGTTCGTTCGTTATACATACGTAGGTATACAGACTGTGTCTCAAAGGCTTCCAATAACTACCGTATCGCATGTATCCTTTGATTCGTGAACCTACACCTAAACCACGACTACCAACAAACATGATAAGTTTTACGTTTGTAGAAGATGTAGCATATCTACGTTCATCTGAGCAAAGTCTTTCAGTGTATTTGCGTTTTTGTAACTCGTAAGCCCTTTTTTGCTTCAGTCGACTTGGCGAGTAGTAGAAATTTCATATAATGTGCTTATGTTCAATCTATGTATTATGTAATTCATTTAAATGTTCAAGCTTTCTAGCACTAGTTGTATCAACTTTGCTTAAAAGGACCTCGGCTTCCACCACTTGTCGTCCTATATCAGTAGTGTTTTTAGCAAGTTCAAGCTGCTTTATATATTTTTGTGCACCGTTTTTGTAGTCAACTTCAGATGCATGGGTCTTGTATGGCTTCGGTAACTGCATGTATGGGGACATTTGAATAGTAGATCCACTTGTTTCTTGTTCTGAAACGTAATAATTGAGCATATTAATGTTAATAACAGCGCGATCCATTATATCAACATCAACATTACCTTCGTCTGACAGGTTTTCTAAAGCAGAGTACTTATTATATAGATAAAGGTGGAATTTAAACCTTTTCATATCAAAGCCAACAGTTTCTATCGTAGTGACAAGACCATTATCAGTGCCCAAAAATGTAATTTTGCCCGATTTTAATAAGCCATTGTCTATCTTCATATTTTCTACTTTGTCGATACACCTAAGTGCATCTTGTGTGATAATATGTATTCTTTGTTCCTCTCTAGTTCTATTGGATGAAGTTGTCAGTTGTTTTCGCTTAAGATAAGTTTTTGTTCTTTCCGTTGATAATTCCTCTTTCATTCTGTGTAATCTTGCATTGAATTCAGCTTTACATGTCTTTATCTGTTCTATCCTTTGGTACATCTGATTGATATGCTTGGTCTCTTGCTGATGTAATGGTCCAGCACGCTTACGGATCCATTTCTTTTTATCTTCATTGATGTTGTTTTGCAAGAGGTAATACTTGCATTCTTTCAAGACACTTTTCAATTTTGTTTGCAAAAAGTGTACTCTATCTTGATGTGCTCTTATTTCGCTGTTGAGTTCACCTGTACGCTTTTTAATTTTTTGCATTTTCAAACCAACTGTATAGCACGTTAAGCTCCCCTGGACATAGCTCAAGGTGGCTTTCGTGGGTCTAGGGGACCTTTAGACCAAGCTCTCTGTCTAGCCGAAATATGCAACATCCTACGCCGCTTTCATCATATAACCCCAGTACTGGCCTTCTTAGACATAAAATCGACATATGATACTGTGGATCGTTGTTATATATGGAAAAACCTAGAGTAAGCAGCACCTGCTGCACTGATTAGCTTGCTTCAGAACATATTTGATGATGCACAGATAGAAGTCCTACTTAATAATGCAACATCTACTCGTTTCTCGCCAGCCACTGGTGTCCTCCAGGGAGCAATTCTCTCTCGTTTTTGTATTCTATATACACTAACGAGTTACCTCGCCTTCTGCGCCCGCAGCCGCTAACCACAGGTATTTCCCCTACCGAACTTGTCCTTCGCATGAACTGTCTCCTTTATTCTGACGACATTGTTTTCATAGCTGCTAAGGCCGACATGCCAACCCTCCTCAAGGCTTGTGTGGACCATAGTTACAAACTTGGGTATCGATAGAACCCAAGTAAATGTATCATATTAGCTCCAACACATTTGTCCTCAAGTTATACCCTCTATGGCGAGCCAATCCCAAAGCAATCTTCCTTTCCCTATCTCGGAATTCCCTTTCGCTCGGGTGGTTATCTCGACGCCATCGAATTGATTGCCAACAACAAGACTAAAGCCCTTATAACTATGAACCAACTCTCAGCCATTGGCCTTCATTCCAAAGGTTTTACCCCTCTCTTAGCCACTCGTTTCTATTCCCAAATCATTCGTGCCCAATTAGAATACGGACTAGCCATTACCAAGGCACTTCCTTCCTTAGCAAACAAATAGATGACGCTCAGGACACCTGCATACATCGAATCTTCGGGGGCTTGTACAATTCCTCCACAGCAGTGATGCTACATCTGGTAAACCTACTAACTATGCAGAAACGCGCTTACTTACTTCAGTCCCAATTCCTTCTACACACATATACCCTCCTGGATGATTCACTACTTTCTCATCTTCTCTCATAGATCCGCCAACATAGAAGTCACTCCCAATGGTATAAACTCTCTAAGCCCCCAATTTGGAAACTGTGCTCACCAAACCTAGAATCCCTTGATCGCCGCTCTTTACGATTGATGCAAAGGAAGTTCCGCCAAGATAGCCTCAATCACAAGCGCTCTACGCACGCCTCCGTTCTTCTTATACATTGTCGCTCGACTATATCCCTAGACCCTATCCTTTGGCTACCAATGACCAGATCTGAAAGAAGTCGCTATATACGTTGGCGCCTTGGTTGGCTTCCCAGTGGTCACGACAAGACCTATCCTCAGCACCCCAGCCAATCCTTCACCAAAGCCCACGTCATTCATTGTCTCCAGATGCACCGCCGACTTATGATACCCGAGACAATTTCTGATCTATTATCCTTCCTTTTGAACATGCTACCTATGAAGGAACCACGCTCATTTCAAATCGCTCTCTTATGGACCATCTGCTGACTAGCTATCTGCGCTCTTCTTTTTGAACTTGACTACCTCCATCACCAAAAGTGTCCGCCTTCTCCGCCCCCTCACTAGTGTATCTTACACTTGGTCCAACATCATTTCTTCCATAACTTTTTTTTTACCCTTGATCCCATAAGGGTTTTTTAGTTACCAATTCTTTATTCTCTTTTGACCTGCCACGGGTGAAAAAGATATATTATTATCGTGCGCCCACTTGAGGTTTTAATTATAAATAAAACTGTTTAACCGTATAGCATGTTAAACCTTAGTTTTTCATGCTTTTTATACTTTATCGCTCGTTATTCAAATCAGTCCTGGATCATCTTTCTCGGTTTCTGTGCTAAATTAGGAAATGGTCTGATTAGAAATTTTAATAGAAGTTTTTTTATTGGATAAATACAAATACTCATGAAATTGAGTCTGAGAGGGTAAGATATTAGGTATTTTTGAAATTTTTCAGCGGAAGGCTCAAAAATACTTTTGAAAAAATCACTATTAAATTTTAATTACAGCAAAAAAATACTTCAAGTTTGACTGAGTCTGACAGGCCATACACTGCCGGGAATTGAGGTGAAGGCAAGTGCAGCTGAAAAGAATCATCAAGACACTCATCTGGACACGCCAAGGGCTGCGTTGTTTTGTAAAGACGCATTAGATAGAGACGAAGTCAAGTGTGCTTTGGGTGTTCAGGTTATTGGTAAGGCTGATTCTTCTTAAAAATTGACAACTGTAGGTCCTTTTCTTACCATATTTTGAAGGCTTTTGCGTGCAAGTTTATCTCTGCTCATTAGAATCTGAAGCGTTATACCCTTTCTTCCTTCTTGAGAAATTTGAAGTGCCTAGCTCCTTGCTGAAGTTACCAAAGTTTATCAGTGAATTCGAAATCAAGACTAGTGAAAACACAAATAACGTAAACCAGAACTTGTATCGATTAGTTTATTTTACAAAAAATGCAACGAACACGAATAATTTGGAAATGATCCTGGCTTTTCAAGCAATTGGTAATATTATTCATTTTTATTCCATGACTTTACAACACGAATCTATTTATGTTTTTATGGATATTGCTACTTTAGAATTACCTACTCAACGTGCTGATAATAGAAACATATTGTTAGAATTGGATAAAATCAGCCAACTGACTCATTTATATAATACAACCCCGCCTAGCCCCACTGTATCCTATTATACAGTCTTTTCAGAAAGTAAAGTTCGCATTTTTGCAGTTTTTATAATACAATTTATACGAAAAAGCGATAAGTCAGCGCGATATGGCTTTCTGGAAATGGCGTATGGTATTATGGACAAACAATCTAGAGTTAAAAAACGTGATATAAAACAAGCTTAAACTAAGTCTCTACTCACCCAGTCCATTTTATATTAATATTTTTATCAATAAAACATACCTCTTGTTGTTACGAATTGTTATTTAACATTATTCAAAAGTCATTATACTTATGGACCTGTTTGACAACAAATCCATAAAGTTGTTTTCAACATGGTGCTCCTAGATTGAATACCTTTTCCATAATGGCAGTACATTCCTTAATACCTCGATAGGTATAAAGCGAATAGTACTTTTTTTTTTAAATTCATTATTTTTCTAGTTGCTCAGTGTTACTACAGTCAATAGCAATGTTTCATTCCATGCATCCGAATAAAGCCCTGTCATCCGAAAATGATAAAACTCTTTATGAACTCTTACTTTTCATATTTCTTTTACTTTAATCGTCATTCAGCCATTCTACCTTTATGAATATGCTCAAACAGTGCCCTTTCACAGAAACTTGTTTGTATTTGATTGGCTACAGGTTCTCCTGTGTTGTCCATTATTCGTGAGTCGTACAAAGCATCTAGTGCCTATTATTGGCTTATTGCCGATGATTTTTTTATGCGTAACCCCACCAGAAGTAAAAGGTGGACTGCTAATTTCACGTGAGTAATCTTATTTGGTTGTGTATGTCAAGTGCCTGAACAATACTTTTTCTTTTGCTTTCTTTCTCCTTCCTCTAGCTCGTCTCAGTAAGAATATGACATCGGAATTACGCCATAGAGAGAAAAAGACTTCGGAAGCACAAAAAGATAATGCTTTTACTGAAGAATATGATGGCTATATCAAAAAAGATATGAAGTGTTCTTATGGAAAGACTCCTAGTGGAGCAGGTAAATGATCATTCTGTCAATGGTAGAAATATGCACTCAATTACAGCATATAGTGTTTCGCGTACCAGTGACTCGTGAAATGGTTGCAACTTTGCTTGATCCTACCAGCAAAAAGAGTGCATTCGATTGGATTACTTTGGGCACAATGGCTTTTGAAATAGCACTTTTCTTTTTATTGCCATTGAGAACGAAGCGTATTCTATTTACATTAATTTTCTTCTTTTGGCGCTTGTGTTATAATGTTGGATTGGGTGTACTATTAAAAGAACAAAGCGATCGCCGTGGACTGGTCAAATGGGCAAAAACATACAAGGTTTTTGATCGTGAAGAAAATCCAAAGATCTATAACTTTCTCCACCATCAACTAAGTATAAAAATGGGTGATGACTATGACTTTGAAGTAAATAGCTTATACTATAAAGACAAAAATAGATGTTCTTATCCATGTTATAGACTGCACCTATAGAATACAATACATGGATGTTGTTTAGACAACTGGTGGATCTCATCTTGATGAATGATTTTACAAGCTATATTTGTTTTGCTCTTTCATGGTTTAATACTGCTTTTCAATCATACATTTTCTTGGGAAATACTCTAAGATGGTGTGGTGGCATATTCTTGATTATTTTTAACATTTGGGTTAAAATTGATGCTCAAAGAGTCGTCAAAGACTTTGCTTGGTGTAAGTCTTTATTTTGAAAACAAATCTTGTATTAATGTACTGTTTAGACTGGGGAGACTTCTTCTTCTTGATAGAACAATCGCTGACTTTTGACGGTGTCTTCGAAATGGCGCCACACCCAATGTATTCTATTGGTTACTTTGGTTACTATGGTATTTCATTACTATGTGCAAGCTACACTGTCCTGTTTGTTAGTATTGCTGCACATACTCTTCAGTTTGCCTTCCTTATATTTGTCGAAACTCCACGTAAGATGCTACATATACGTTTATACCTTTTATATGCTAACTGCTTGACTTTAGATATCGAAAAGACCTATAATCCTCCTACTACCATCAAGCGTCAGCCTGTAGATGCAAAGAGTACAATTGATCCCAAGACCACCCGTGAACTGCATCCAGGTCATTTCCGTAAAGATTTGATTGTCTTTAAAAATTTTGATCTTTTTCGTACGACTGATATTGTCTCCGTCGTGCTCATCCTTTACGCTATTCTCATCCCACTTCTTGTCCCTGGCAAGTCTGGTCTGATCATTTCTTTCGTACAAGCATTCTTTTGGCGATTAGCTCATTCTGTAGGCAATGGTGTCTTGCTTCAAGCACAATCCAACAGCAAGTTCTTGACTCGTCATTTTATCAAATGGGGTGGTACAGTGCAAGAAGCATTTCAAAACTGGAAGAGGTAAGCTAGTTCATACAATTTTTCAATATTCTATTTATTAACTATGAACCTTTGTATATAGTTTATATAACCTTACCTTGACAATGACTTATGTCACATTCTTTGTTACTTGCTGGAAAGCATATAGCTTACCTGATAACTGGACGTATGGAATGACTCTCTTACGACATACGTTGGGTTTAATCTTTATCTTTTTACACATTTGGACTTCTGTCTCCATATTTGAAGTTCTTGGTGAGTTTGGGTGGTTTTATGGTGATTTCTTTATGGATGAACATCCCTCCGAGTTACTGTATACGGGCATCTATAGGTAAGTAAAAGGATATGCATAAAAAAGCTCTTTTTTTTCTAAATGAGAATATAGATTCTTGAATAACCCTGAAAAAATCATGGGTCAAGCTGCTTTTTGGGGAATGGCATTAATCGCCAATAATAGTGTTGTCTTTACGTTGGCTATCTTTTCCCAGCTTTGTAATATACTGTTTATCCAATATGTTGAAAGGCAAGCAGTAGCATCCATGTTTAGAAAAAAAAAATTAACACCTATATATAGTCCTCATATGCGAAAGCTGTACGGTGATCAGATTCGTAAAGAAGCAGGTTTAACAAAAACGTTGAAATCGGCTGCTGTTGCTCTTCCAAAGACAATTCCTGACAGATTACAACAGGAAATTGGAAAGATCATCCGCGAAAACCAAGACAGCACGAAAAACCTTGAGCGTCTTGTGAAGGAAGCAGTTGAAAGAGTGGAAAAAGCGGTTGAAGAGACGAAGGGTGCTGTTGGCGATATGGTAGGTGCCGCTCGCCCACGTCTACAGGAAGTGCTGGAAGAAACAAAGCAACTACTTGAAGACTCACGCTCGCGTGTTATTCCCTTGGTAGCTGCAGATATAAACATGTACGATCTATCTAGTTACTCTCTCAAGGTCCTTGATAGCAACACATTTGAGCTTGGTCAGCCTATTCGAGTAGAGTGGAGTGCCCCTGAAAACCATGGTCCTAAAGACTGGATTGGTATTTATCGTGTTGGCACCAATAAGCATAAGCATTTGACCAACGTAAGTTCTCGTGGACTGTGGCACTGGACAAACGCTGCTCCTGGTACTGCCTCTGAAGAGACTGTATTTCCTCCTGAAACACCTGTAAAGACGAATGGAATCATTGAGTTTTGCGGGTCAAAGCTACCATGGAAGGTGGGAATATACGAATTTAGATACCACCATGACAACAAACATAATGTCATGACCACTTCCATGACTTTTGAAATCAAGGCTCCTTCCACACCTTGTACATTTGATTTGGAAACGACACAGAACGTCGTGTTGAAGTTTGCTCAAAATATTTTGGGACACAACGTCGATATAATACCTCATACACCTCAGGAAGAATTTGTTGGAATGGGTGAAAGTGAATGCAAGCATTTGGTAGAATGCATTCAGCTTGTTTATAATGTGGAGTTTGCTTGGGAAGTTGTCCTTGCTGATAAATGTGCAGCAGTACTAGCGAAAAGAGTAATATTTCATATATTCAAAGCTAATTCCTTCTTCTTACTAATATATAATGTAGATATTAAACGCTAGGAAGGCCCTTTCTCCATTCACAGCTGATCCACAAAGATAGAATCCTTAGCGATAGTCAAGATTGTAGGCTGACCTGTATAAAAAAAAAAAGTTTCATACTTTATGTAATTTATCCTTGTATTTGCACGCATTCTGGTTTTATATTTGCGTATTTGTAAATTTACATAAAATAGTAATTAAAGCATAGGCTCAAGAGCTAAGCATCTATTAAATAAACTGAGCCACCAGTGAAAGAAAGAGTGCTTCTCTTTTCCTTTGATCAAATCAATATGATTAGAGAAAGGGTCGAGTCGATACTGTAAACACATTGGATAAAATAAGGTGCGTTGTGTATATAAGGACTTCATTATGCTTAATATACATGTCCTATAATTTACTCCCATGTCATTATATCGCTTCAAGATCTCTATGTGTCAATACAAAATCATTAAACTCGAACTAAGCCTTTTATATACATTCAATATGTTTATTTTCATCAATTTAGAATGTAGTCCATCCTCCTATATCATAATTGGCTTCAATCTGCCTTGCAACATATATAGGGATATTGTGTTGTAACCATAGTTTGCGGATCTCTGCATATCGTTTAGGATTAAGATACTGTGGCCGTCCATGTCTATCGATGATCATTTGAACCTTGTCAGACATTAAGTGAATATATTATGTATGTATTTACCTCAAGCCCTGATCCACTTCGCCATGTGGATCAAGGTAGGGGGCATTCATGAACCAACCGTTGCCATTATGGAGTAATAAGAGCACACATCGCTTGACATACAAAAATATACCAATTTCCCCACCACATCTAACAAGTACAATAAGTATACTTGAGATGACACACTATAATAATTACTTACTCTGCCGTATGAAGATTGCACTCTCCTTCTTCTTCTTCTGCACAACAAAAGCTTTGAGCACAAACAAAAGTACCGCACAGTAGGCATAAAGCAGGATCACTAGGTACTGTGCCACATTTATGACAGACTCGTCGCATGCTTTCATCGAATAGGCGATCAAGTCTCTTTGGTAGTGCTATCAGGCATAAAGGTGTAGGTAAATCTAGTGGTATGTTTAAGAGCCGTGAAGCTGTTAATGATGCCTGCCCTTCTTGAACGCGTAATTTATGCTCTGATTCACGAAGAAGCTGGACACACCAGTGATGCAACAGGGAATCAGTCATGTGCATAGGCTTTAGAAACTCGGCGAAACTTGGCAGGTGCAGGATATTGAGTAAACGATCAAATTCTGAAGCACCATCCAGTTCCTGAGACATGTTGTTTGGAATTATTAAACCGAATCTGGATACCATTAGTATTAATGTTCGACGGAGGAAAGGCAGTGCAAAGAATTTGAGCAGGGTACAGAATGAGGCATCATCTCCAAACTTTTTAAACGTAGCATGGGCTTCCTCAGGAGTGAATTGTAACTTATTCATTAAAGAATAAGCAAACGTTTTAGCAACGGCGATATCTTGCGATGGTTCACTAGTTGCAGGATGATACTGATCAGGGACTTGACGTAGAGCTCTCGAAAGCCTATTTTGAATTAATCCCACTGCAATCTTTGCCATTTCAGCCAACAACATGGTGCGAACAAAGGGGAATATATCAGTTGGAGCAACAATTGTCAAGTGTAGTGATAATTCGGTCAAAATCATGAAAGGATCATCTTCTAATAGAGGAGCGTTGTCATATAGAACAATTTTCTCTCTTCCAGGGTGATTAACAATGTTAACAACATCATCTACGTTAACTTCAAATATCTGTCGCATGCGACCAAGGGCAAGCATGGTAACTCGTGCAAGGGTCATTGACGAATTTGATTTAGAGTCTGATCCAGAAGGACACATAATGGTGGTATATGCCAAGATAGTATCACTCATGACTCGAAGAAGCGTCTGCGCTTGTGCTGGTATTTGATCAAAGACTGTATTTGTTGCTGTATTTTCATTTACTTTTGGTCTACTTATTCCTCGAGCAGCAATTTCTAAGCTTGTGATGGTATAACCTAATATGCCCCAAAGCATATCAATGTTTTTAACAGATGTTGACATTTCTCTTTCATGCTCATCTACACATATCTCCTGATAAATAATACTTAAAACATCTAATAGACGAGAGTAAGATTTCTTGATGTAAGGTATGCTGGGAATAACCGCTGTATGGAGTATTTCATTATCAAAGGGACCTAGTTTGCCATCCGGTGGAGGGTATGATCCACTACTAACAGCGGCTTGAAATAACAAGTCATTCTCTGGATCCATATCGCCCTCTGTGCTTGATTCTGAAGATCCTGTTGTGGCTGTATTCGTTTGTTCCGTGAAAGTAGGAGTTGTTGGTGCAGGTCGGGGAGTTCTTACAAGACCAAGAGGTGGCCAATCCGGACGCTCTATTGCTCCTGGGGGCGCAGGTCTGGCAGTCGTAGTCTGTTGCTCTCCGCCATGAAGAGGAAGCGTTGGCAAAAGCTGAGCCATTACATCTTTCATACGACTGGTACTGCCAGAAGTCTTTTTGTTCTGTGCCACCCTCCAAGCTATCCCGATCGCCTTCTTCAATTTATTCACAATCTGATTGACTTCACTTTTGTAAAAAGCAGTAAAGTCAGAATCGTCACCTTTTTCAAGAACACCAGGGAATGTTTCTTTCTTGCCTTTCCAAAAAATGGGAAGCAATACGTTACCCAAAGACTTACACAAAGGACACATGAACTCCTTGCGGGATCTATTCTCAGGGTGGTTGCGTGTTAGTTGGGCAGAATGTCTAGAATCAATAGAAGTGCAGTAAACTTCAAAGCATTTAATATGCATAAGATGGCCACATGTTGATGAGTAAAGACCAGTTTTGTGCGATTGGGATGGGAATCCAGAAATAGTGGGTGTACTATCAGGTAAACACTGCTTATCTTCCCATTGCACGTCAAGAGTTGGCCCTGTTCTATATATATCATCATAGAATGAATCGTCATCCAATGGAGTTTCTCGTAGTATGTTGGATGTCTGAATAAGTCCTAAGAGTCCATAAGGTAGAGAACGCTCATTTACGTCTTCTTGACAAACAATACATGTGCCTGTAGGATAAGCGCAGAACCTATTCAAGTTTCCTGTATCAGTTGGTTCATTTAATTTTTGGTTCAAAGATTCATCAGCTGTTGTAACATCTTCTTCATCGTAAAGGTCTTCATTTTGTTGCATAAACTGTGATTGCGCTTGAGCAAATTGTGCCATGATTTTCATTTGTCTTTCTTTAGCAGCAAGCTTTTTCTTTTCTAGATCAGATAGCTCAGAAGCTCCCTCAGCTTTCTTACGAGCGTTTTCTAAAGCTGTTTCCTTCTGCTTTGTCTTCCAATTTTGGACAATTTGACAGGTTCTTTCAACATTACCATTCAAAAGAGCCTGGAATATCCAATCAAGTCTACTTTTAATTTCACTGAATTTTTCATCATCGTAAAGCATGGTCATAAGATCAAACAAGGAAACTTCTTTCAAATCTTCTGGCTCACTATCTCTGTATGATACCTTGAAATACTTGTCGCATGCGTTTTGATAGAATCCTTCCTGCTTGCCGTTCAAGTCATTGTTTTGATCGGTAAGAGCTAACAAAATGAGGTACAGTGTTTGGTCTAGGATAGTATCGCTCTTGTGATTATCCCCAGTACGAATATTCCACAAAGTATAAGTAATCATTTGAGTAAATAAGGTAGAATGTAAGAACTGTCCAAGGTATTTAAATGGGCCATCATTGATCTTGGATGTGTGTGGCAAAATGAAGAATTCTTCTTCTTTTTTGTCAGGATTTGCTTTCTTCCATCTTGATTTCAAAATATTTTCAGCTTCTTCTCTATTGTTTCGACTGTAATGCCAAAAGTAGGTATCAACTTGTTGAAAGTATTCTTCTTTAAGCTCATATAGTCCATGATCATTTACGCCTTCAGGGTTTCTGAATTTTGCTACTTCAAGCAATATACGATCAAACTCTGGATGTTCTGTGATTCTTTCAGGAATTCGCTTCGTTAACTCAGAATAAGCGCAGATACCAAGACACAAGTTGTGAATGATTTCCCTTCTTATTTTTTCAGCCATAGACATGCCCATAACATTCGCTTTTTCACATACACAAACGATCAAGAGATTTAAGAGCTCTTCAACCATGAATATCGTCTGCTGACTATCGTAGCTTGCGTGTGCTGTACTTCCGAGGAACCAGGAGGTGAGATCAAATCTATCCAATAAAGACGCCAAAAATTGATTCGTATCAACTGTGACAAATCCTAATTGCAATAAGAACACATCGGCATCGTATGTATTCTCTCGTAATGATATATCACGATAATGATGAGCCTATTGTATCAATGTGAGCTCATGAACATGTTCTATAGTGAAAGCGAACAAGCATACCTGGTTTCTAATACCATAACCGTTACGAACCCATATACCAGCTCTGATTTGGGATGAAAACACAATGGTTCTGATTGGGAAGTCGAGTATAGGCAAAAGTACATCGCCAGTAGAACCTCTATTTTCCTGAAAAGAAATAATGGCGCTTTTAAAACCTTCTTTCCATCCAGATTTCATTAGAACATGGTCTGTGAGTAGATGTGCATGCTCTAATAGACCAGACAGCAACCAATGAAGAGGATGGTGAAATGATACAGGCTGTTCAGTAACAACATACTTGATAACTTTAATAGGATCCAGGTATTTTGTATCAACCTGGTGGAAAGTCTGGGTTAAAGGACCATATACCTTGTAAGCGCTCGTTGAGGTAGTATTGCTGGTATTTGCAACATTCCTTGCTTGCTCCTCTTTTTCTTCATCAGGATTAGGCTTCCCCCACTCATTGATTTGTTTTAAAACTCGACAGATAGCCCTCATAAGTGTAATTGCTGTATCGACTCTTTCTTGTTCAGTAGACACTGGGAGCATGGCAAAGCAGTCTGAGAATTGACGGCAGCATTTGGCAATCTGAAGTGTCACATTGAAAGCGTTCACCCATATTTCGGATTCATATTCCACATGAGTGTCTTTTTGGCATAATTGTCCATTCATTCCTTGAAATAAACTGATCAAGTCAAGATATTGACGAAGGTAGAGTGGATCTTGAGCAAGAACGCGTTTTATCATATTCACGTTCATGATGTATCGAAGATCGTGAAAGGCATTAAAGTAGCGACGCGTACGGAATGCACGAGATTCACAGTTGATGCGTGAAGGATAGGCTGGGCGTTCAGAAGGTAAAATCAAAAACAGACGATCTGTCAAGAAGAAAGCTGTTAATGTCGAGCATATGAGTCCAAAGAAATAATAGTGGTGCACAAGTAAGTCGGATACTGAAGGCACAGTCAACAGTTGCACTGAGAATAGGATGATGGAGTTTTCTGGTTCTCGATCTCGAAGCAAAAAGGATTCGGCCAAACGAGCATAATTTCTGGTTAATCTTTTGCCGAGAATTTTTTTAAAGTAAGGATTAGATGCTAAAGAGGCAATATAGAGTTCTCGCAAAGCAATACGTATTTCTTTCCAGAGCTTGAGGTCGTATAACATTAAATAATCCAAGCGAAGTTTTGTCACAAATTCCTTTTGTAAGTCTGTAGCCTTCTTTTGTGCTTCAGAATCAAGGGCCATACTATGATTATCTGCTGTTTTGGAAGCAGTTTCTGGTAATATAGATTCTCCAAACTTTACTTCCTCTTGCCGCACTGCATAGTATTCTCTAATCATGGCTTTTGGATCCCAATCAATAGATGCAATATCGCAGTGGCTCCTATACATGATGTGGCTTGAGTCTTCTGAGCTTGGCGTTCCTGCTTTACTACCATTGTTTACATCCTCATCAGGATCATACATTTCAATATCTTCTGTAACTGGATTAATCATTGGAACATCCTCCTTCATACTGTCGTCCTCAGGAATATCATCATTAGCAGGAGGGCCGCCAGCTAGTAATGCCAAGGGTAATCGAAGCTCCCACTCTCTGCACAATTCTTCGCACAACATATCACGAATGATGGCATCTCCACCAAGGATGCTTGAAAAGAATTTATGCTTGCCGCTTATTAATTCATTAAGCCAGTCTACAAGCAAGCCTGCAACTTGCTCTCTGAATGTCTCTTTTGCTGGTCTTATCGTCACACCAAGGTTAATGGCTGATAAAGGAGCTGCTATTTTTCGAAGTTCTTCGATATCTGTTGAAACCGCAATGATTTCTCGTCCCTGAGAAGAAGAATTAGATAATAGAGCTTGTATGATATATCACCAGTACATACATGAACGTGAATAACATCAACAATACGTTTAGCCTTTGCCCAATCCCAACCTGTAGCTGTCATGATAGACTCTAACACATGGGAAAACGCATGCGCTTCATCATTCCAAGCGATGCAGGCGTATAATTCACCATCCTGCTCTTTGCTTGTAAATCCGGTAGCCTTATTTTCACTTCCATTATCCTTATCCATATCAACATCTTCCTCAACTGTTTCTGTTTGATCCATTGGTATATCCTGCATGATGGTCGTATTCTGAGAAAGAGAAAGAGTAGGACGGTCCAAGGGAACACCAATTCGACCAAGTTGCTTACGTTGGTATCTATTTTCTCTTAATAAATCTTCTGTTGAAGGATTAAGTGCTACTTCCTCGGGTGCAATAGCAAAATTGTCGAGTAAAAAATCAACAACTGAAACAATAGTAAAGCGAATTGCTGATAAGAGAGCAGAGTCAAGTGAAGTTGTTTCTGAAAGACGTATCTGGGTATCTTTATCTTGAGTACTTAGGGAGTGAATGTTGCATTGTAGTGGCACTTTCCATGCTTCTGGATCACCACAATCACAGCAGCCTCCAGAACCGGGGCTGACAGAAAACAGAATATCATGTCCGTCGTGGTTGGTTGCGTGAAAACATTTGCTACAGAATACACAAGTGTCGTCTAATCCGCAGTTTCTAAAATCGACTTTGATTAATATATTCTCTTTGTACACTTTCTTTATTTTTATACATACCTGCAGCGATAAACAGGCTCACCCTTTCGAAAGACATGACCACATTGTCTTCCTTTTTGACTTGATAAGTCCTCAGCTGGAAGTATTTGATTAGAATGCAAAGATTTAGGATCAGTTATAGTGCTCTGTTCTCGTCCATCGTGGGGCCGAGATTGACGACGTATTGTTTGCAAAAGTTCTTCTTTAGATGAGAAAAAGTATTGTTGCATAATAGATTCGTTGTTCATCCAGAGCTCTTCATAGCAACGAGATAAAATAGCTTGTTTCGCGTATTCTCCAAAATGACAATTGAATAAAAGTGGAGTCTGCCATAGAAAATCTGATAGTGATCCTTCTTCATTCTTAAATGACCTATTCGTTGACATTTTTTTTTTTTACAAGAGGGAGAGGGAAAAGAAAAGGGAAAAAAAGAAAAGAAAAGAGAAAGGAGAGAGGGGGATTGCTTTTGAAAATTACGCCGCTTAAAATGACTTTGCGTCATGCAAAGATACTCATTCTTTCTAGTGAATATGCAACAACTTTTTTTATCCTTTATCATGATCAATGACAATAAAGCCTCTTTTATTCCAAAAGAACAGCAGCAGAAAGAAACAATGGATTCTTCTTCATTTTGTGAAATGTAAAGACTATATATAGATGACCTTTATATGAGAGGAGAAATGAAAAGAGGGTACAGAAAGAGAACACGTATTTTCATGTATTTTTATCATTCTGCCCATGTTTCGAGAGTTCTCTGTTTATTATTGGAAATATAAAGGTACACTTACACTTTAAGCGGGGATATAAATATTTGATTTTTCTTTCCCAACCATTGTTGTTTAAAGAAAATACAATACAATAAATATTGCTTTACAGTCAATATGAATTAAATATCATCCATAAAGATTTCTGGTGATTGCGACCTTTCTTTCTCTTCTTCTTCTTCGTCATCAATCACTATCGATTCATCATCTTCTTCATCTTCTATCTTAACCATATGCTGGTTCACTTCTTCATCGTCTACTCTAAATATTTCTATTTCTTCTTCTTCTTCTTCTTCCTTATCTACTTGTTGCTGTTCATTAAGGCCTTTTGCTCTACGGTCCATATTGATTAAAATAGCTGCTGCTTCGAGCATTTGAACTTGCTGATGTTTGGTTAAGGGGAATTTCTTAGTAAGTTCCCACTCTTCAGAATGCTCCCACTTGTGTTTTTGCAAGCAGTTTGGATGTTTATAAGACTTTCCACATTCATTACATCTATACTGCCCGTTATTATAAGACTCTGAAAGTCCACGATTCTTTCTTTTAATAAATGCATCGGACTGTCTACGGTTATTGCGTATGGTTAAGCCACCCGTAGCAGCTGCTGTAGCGGTTGAAGCAGCATGAGAAGCTCTACGGTGTGCTGTATGTTCGATTGTATAATTTTCAGGTAAGGAAGCTGAATATTCTCTGATGCACATATCATTAAAGACTGTCTGCAAAGAGTCTCTGCGTTCTACAACTATTTTGGGTATCGTATTAGACTGCTCTTCACCACAAAAGGAATTAGGTGGAGAAGGAATACCACTCTGGTCCTCCTGATGCTGTTGTTGTTGTTGTTGACGAAGCTGAAAAGAAAGTAATGAAGACATGTTTCCAATTTTAAAGAAAGAAAGAAAAAAAGTTCCAAAACTTACTACAAAAAGGAGGAGGAGGGGCGAGCCTTTCATTTTTATTGAATCGGCACTTGAATAAACTGTACCTTTTTTTAATCTGGCCAATGCTCCTGTTTGCAGCAGAGATATGAAACACATACACAAGTCATTTTGGATATTTAAAAGCTACAAGAATTGAATACTTTGAAGAAAGAGACTTATTAATTTTTTTTGCCTTTGCTTTTGATCTTTTTTAATATTATATAATCAAACAGCACCACTAATTCACAACTGTGTAATATAGGCATCATATCTCACCAAGGAAAGAGAGAGAACTCGATAATGGTATAAAAAAAACAGTTTATTAGAATTACTATTGCTATAATTTCTTTGACAGCTTCTTCAAACGTTTTATTTTTATAAAATGAAGCAAGTTAATCGTTAGGTAGTAAGTCATTACTTTGCCTGATAAAGATGAAATCAAAAATTTAAAATTGTTCCAATCTGAATTGTGTTTACCATTTTATCAGGTTTATCTTTCAAAGATGCACTGCTTAGATATCTCAATTACATATATCCCAATTTAGCATACAAGTGCCTTCAAAAAAAAAAAAAAAAATAGGTATGTTCTTTATAAGCACTGAGTAAGAATCAGGATATGCATCAATGTTGATATTCAAATAAATGACTACATGTTCTCAGTTTCTGGGTAGTATTGAGTAGCCCTCGAGTGACTGAAAATGAGGCAACTATCTACAAGTACTTGGTGAGCACACTTTTTACTAGGGGCACCTCAATCTAAACTATCTTATCTGAATAGTATCGTATTTAACTTACAATACTAATGAAACTACTTTAATCTATACTCTAAGAACAATCCAAAAAGGCCGACTACAAAGTAGGTTTATATAATGCATAAAGAGGTTATATAGGGACTCGTCGATGTACATCTTTTTTATATCTTCTTCTATTATCGTGTTTACATTACATTCATTATAATAATATCAATCGACATTATATCTCTTAGTTTGTTTAACCCTATCTTTATTCTTTTAAATTTTAATGCTTCATATTCAACAGTACATAGTCTTCGCCCAGTCCTCTCTTAATGTGAAAACCACTTTAAACCCGTCCACGCGCTCTATTTTTATTAGAGACACCCAGTTTTTGTGTGTCACGCTCCGTTTCTTCAATATTTGTCTATTAAGTCGATATATTCTAATTTTTACATCATTAGCTGAGCTTTCAAAACTGTTACATGCCCATCGTGTAAGCCAACTAAACAATAAAGGTTTACTATTGAGGGGCTTCATTAAGCAAACTAAAGCTATATACAAAAACGGTATATTTCTAACAAAAACAGAGCGTGACACACAAAAACTGGGTGTCTCTAGTAAAAACGGAGCGCGCGTAGCATTCTCCCAAGAAAATAATGAAGGTGATATCGTGAACCAAGACAGTACTCATGTAGCTCCCCGTAAAAGAAGGAAGCGATTAGATGTTAAGAGGATTATGAAACTCGATCTTAAAGAAAAACTAGATGCGATAATCGAGTCATAGTGAGTGGAAGTACATACTGTAACTTTGTATGCCTTAGGTTTGAGTGTGTTGTAAAAGGTAATAAAAATAGAAGTTTGTGTGTTCGTAACCTTTGTAGCAAACGTGTTTAAAAGGTAAAGTTATAATAAAGGTTTGATGTATGACCACCAAATCGTGTAAAGTTGATCAGACTGAGTTGTACAAAAAAAAAAAGAATAATAAAGAAGATAAAAAGGTTCCTGAATTCACTTGATTGGATAATTCAGAAGTAAATGAAAGATAAAAGTAAAAATAAAAGGTTGTGATTCAAAACGAAAATGATTTATTAAATGAATATTTGAAGAATTAAAAAGAATTGTCTTTTTATACTTGTTAAAAATAAAGTTGATCGATATAAAGATTTTGTATTGTAAACTCTATTACAATACCTCAAAGTTCGCATCATCTTGCTCCATTACTTTTCTTACTCTTTTCTTTGTAGGAGTAAAAAATTGAATTGCTAATGGCCTTTGGACAGGTGATCTAGGCGGGCTGACGAGTAAACGGGAAGAGGTACTAACATCTACGACAATGTATCTTCTTCTTTCTCTATATGCACCCAACCTGGTTTCACTGCTTAATTTAACCACACTATCTCTCCAAAAGCAAAGATCATTAAACTCTATAAGATACCTCGGTATATATGGAGTCTCAATAAAATGAGATACCATGATGTCTTTAAACTGGAAAACCTGGGCCAAGTAACCCTCTCCTCCTTTCCGATCCATGTATAATATATTTTTTGATTGCTTGCTAATGCTGCTGAGATTGTCTATTATGTGTACATTTGCTTTAATATTTTTCGATTGTTGTTATTTCATGATCGTATCGTTTGCATTTTGCGTTTTGGATTCGATAGAACACAACTCAATAGTCACATCATCATACTTCGTCCCAGTCAACAAGTCGATTTTTCGTCCAATCGCTTCATCTCCATTTAAGGTTTGCATCCGTTGAGTACCCATCGAAGCATTTCATCATTATACACAGAAAAATCCTCATCCTCCAGGAGTATGTCCAAAATATTAGCAAATTTGCGTTGATAAGTCATCTCAACATGACCATCCTCTATTTTCCAGCTTTTAAAATTGTGCACAGCTTCTTCAATTACCCATAATGATCTGTAATTTTCTGACTTTTTGCTTTTTTAAGTATTTCTTCTCGTCCAAATAGCTAAGTGCTCTCCCATCGTCCTTATCAAATCGTACAGTTGCCAAAATGGAAACGAAAGATGTGGTCAATGCTCTCTGAGCCGCGCTTTTTTATTCGTAGTTTTAAATTAATAACAATAAAATACAAAATTTTCTATATCCTATATCTCTTTATAGCTTTCTAAGTGCATTGTTCTATTTTTTCTTGTCTTGTGGGTGGGTTACTTTCGCTGCTTGAAGAATCTGCGGAACCAAAGGATGGGTCGTACCACATCTTTCGTCTCTATTTCGGCAACTGTACAAAAAACCCCTAGCTTATAAAGATCAATGTTCACTTTGTAATGGTTCGTTCGATCATTGGCCGTTTTTACTTTCGCAAATCCAACATTTCTTTCTTCGTTGTTGTCTTCAATGATAGCTATGCAGCCGTTCGGTCGCTTCTTTGATAGCTTGATATGAGTCTTTTTTTGTATTCTGACCTAAATTTGTTAGTCCATCTGAAGACTACGTTTCTAGAAGAATCGTCAAGTAATGGCTGTAATGCTGCCTGTAGATATCTCGAACACAATTCGAACTCCTTTAGGTACTTGTTGGTACTTCTTCCGGTAAATCTTTAATCAAACGTTTGATACTTAAAATAATTTTAGCAACAAAGTTACTTTGGTTATCTGTTAAATTCAATAGTAGACGCGCAGTTTGAATCCTTGTCGTTTTTCTTCTGTATATGTCTTGTGCAATACCCAGCATCTGTGTTAGAATCAATCAGGGAAATTTGTTTTCGTGAATAGTACACGGCTGTTCGTGAGTAATTCACAGTTTTTGTGAACTTTGAATTTTTTGAGTATTTTGGAAATTATTTTTCACCAAAAAAATATGATAAGGAATATTAGAAAATAGTTTTATATTTCACAAGATAGACAGACACTTTTTTTTCCGACAAATAAATCAGGTAAAGCAAGAATCAATTCAAAAGATGAGATGAAAGTATGAAGCCAAGTACAGAACTGGAAATAGCGTTG